GCCCAGGCTGGTCTTGAACTCACAAGGATCCTCCTGCTCAGCCTCCTGAGTGCTGGGATTACAGGCATGCACCACCACGCAAGGCCAAAAATAATTTTTAAAAGGGGGGTGCTATGGATATAACAGTGTGAAGGCCCTGGGTCCAATCCCCATATGCCAGAGACAAAACACCTAAAGACATTGGGCAACTGGATATAATGCCTTTGGGGAAGGAGAAGCTTTACAAGTGCTGAGTCAGTGCTAACTTCCTTTGACACCTGAACTGTGGCCCTGACAAGAAAGGTCTCTGTGGGGTGAGGGTGATTTAGATAAGGGGGCACACAAGTACTTTGTAGCAAAGGGAGATCATCTCTGCAACTTAAGGTTCAAATAGTTCAGAGAGAAGCATTTGTGTAGGGAAAGAGAAGCAGATGGGGCAAAATGTTACCACGTAGGAATCCTGGAGTTGGGCAAATCGGGGAAAGTTTTTACAATTTTGCTGTAAATCTAAATCTGCCAAAATACAGACAGTAAAAGAAACAAAGCCAGACCTGGTGGCTCACTTCTGTAATCCCAGCACTTGGGAGGCTGAGGCAAGAGGCTCACCATTAAATTCAAGGCCGGACAGGGCTACATAGTGAGTTCAAGACCAGCCTGAACTGCACAGCAAGACTATCCCAAAAAACAAAGAAACAAAACAAGTAAATGGTCTCAAAAGGGGCAAAATAGCATTCTATCCAACACCCAAAGTGCAGTCTCAGCTACTGAATTGTAGATGGAGGCTCACTCCAGCCACAGAGCCACAGGCCTTCCTGACACCCTTCTGTGGGTGCTGACAGTGGGCAAGAAGCAGCTGTGTGCTCAGCTCCTCTTGGGCAGAGTCCCAGGCTGCTGTCCTGTGTGGGCTGCAATTGCTGAGTCTGTGGTGACTGGCCACTTTCATGCTCCTTAAGTTAATGAGACAATCCTTCCAACAAGAGGACTCTGAGAGATGCAGCTTCTATTTACTGAGCATTTTCTATGTGCTAGGCACAGTGATAAATGTTCTCTGGAACCGTAGGAACCCCAGGAGGCCCATGTGGTCATCCCATCTCATCAGAATGAAGGCTGAGAGAAATCAACTCTACCCATCACCCAAGCAGGCTTAGGCTTTGATCTAACACCAACATCAGTGCTCCTCTCCATCAAGTGCAAGGTGTTAATTCACCCCAAACCCTAAGCCTACCACTGGCCTATTACCTCTGTCTTGTTCCAGATTCACCACACACCAGTATCCAGAAAACACAAGTTTAATGAGGAGACTGCGCGTTGTTATGGCAGGGCCTTCCTCAGGCCAGCTGGTATTCCATGCTGTGGCATACCTTCAGCATGCTCTTCTATAAGGTGCTGGCCATGCAGATCGGTTCCTGTCTGGGTTTTTCCTACAATTCTGTGGACTGATGGGAGGACTCACACATGATTCTGTTTGAAGACTGTGTCACTCAGAAGGGACAAGTAAAAAAGTACTGGGGGATGAGCTGGGTATGGTGGTGCACACCTGTAATCCCAGCATTCAGGAGGCTGAGGCAAGAGGATCGTTGCAAGTTTGAGACCAGCCTGGGCTACAAAGTGAGCTCAAGGCCAGCCTGAACTGCATAGCAAGACCCTGTC